TTCTGATTCCGAAAATGATATTTTTATTGCTCAAAAGTTGAGTTCTGATCGAGAAAATTGGGAATTACGGTCAGAATTCCGAGTTTTTCGCCTCTTATTTAGAAAAAATGAATTTTCTCGGCGAAAATTTTTTTTTCCCAAAACCCCTCCTTACGGCTATAGCTGGAGTATAGAGCTATCGAATGGCATAAAATTCAATGAGTTAGCTCCTCACCAAAAAAACTAGATAGGTGTTTGGCGGAGGGGTCTCATTTTTCAGGGTTTTCTATCGCGAGCAGCGCCAAAATTTCAAATTACGGTCTAAGAGTCTGAAACTAGTATGGATATACCCAGTTTTTGGTTACCTCTAAAGTCGTAAGCTTCTCCCCTTCCTGTTTCATTTCTTATTCGAAGAGCGGTCGCAAGAAGTCTAACCAGAGTCAATAGCAAAAGTTTTTAAAAGACTCTGCCGCATAAGGTTGTAAATCTAGCACTTCTCAGCTTTGGTTCCAGCCTTGTTAGCCATAAAGACAGCGTGAGTTGCTGCCTCTTTTACGAAGGAAATTTTCTTTCTAATGGGATACGCTGTACGGGAGACTTGATCGTGAATTGAGTGAAAGAATGGATGTTATCACGCACTTCAAGATTGTCTCTTTCTCTATTCATTAGTTCGCTCTTCTCCTTTTCTTTCTCTTTTTCTCATCCGATCGACGCGAGATTGAAGTAGAGCGAATAGTTGTGTAAATAGAATACTTTGGCTTTCCATCAGCAAACGTGATACACAGCGAACAGGAAGAAAAAAATGTGCGCAACTGAGGGAGACAGCAAAATTCATGGTGGAAACAGCAATATATTTTCCTCCCTAACCGTATACCAATCCTTTTTATGGTGTCTGCCTTTTTAAGATATAATCAAAAATATGACATCAACACCAACATCCTACAGGGGTGCAATCGCTCTCATAACAGGAGGCAATAAGGTGAATATCACAGTGACGAGAATAAAGCTGACTGCTTTTTACAAAACTATTGTAGGGCATTGGATTCGAGACTGCTCGTCAACTTGGCGAACTAGGTCTTATTGTTCTCATTGGTGCTCGAGACAAAACACGAGGCGAAGAGGCAGTGCGAAAGTTGGAAAATGAAAATATTCAAGCGAAATTGATTGAACTTGATGTGACGAAACAGCACACAGTTGACGATGCGGCTCAACAAGTTCTAAGCGATTATGGTCGATTAGATGTTTTAATCAATAATGCAGCTGTCTATTTGGAAGGCGAATCTCCCAGTCATACGCATATGAGCAAAATGCGTGAGACATTTGAAACAAACGTTTTTGGTGTTTTTGCTGTCACGAAAGCGTTCATTCCCTTGTTGCAAAAGTCGAATAACGGGCGTATTGTGAATGTATCAAGTCAAATGGCATCCTTTGGAAAGCCCTTACCGGATCGTAATCGATTAGCCTATTCAACAGCGAAAACAGTTGTGAATATGATGACTGTGCAATTCGATCGAGAATTTCGCGCTCAAAACTGGAATATAAAAATCAATAGTGTCAATCCCGGTAAGTGCAAGCGTGACATTTCATGAAAAACTATATTTTGTTGTGATTTGATTCTCAAACTTTAGGATTAGCGAAAACAGACATGAGCAACAACAAGGAAGGTTATCCGCCACCAAACGAAGCCGCTCGAACCATTGTCCATTTCGCAACACTGCCAGACGATGGTCCATCCGGATTGTTCTTTGGTCCAGAAACAAATCTACTGCCTTGGTAGAGTTTTCGAACAAAAACATTTTCGTATATGAATTGACTAATCCACTTACTTCATGCGCTGTGTAGCTTTTAAGGGAGAGGTTCCACCGACATATTAACCCTCGTAAAAGCATGAAACAGTTTAGATGAAACTGTTTTGTCTAAAAGTGTTCAACAAGATTATCCTTGTTGTGGCCTGTTCAATTCTGTGTTGAATGATATACACTGAATGACATACATTCGTATATACATTTTGGTAATATTTCCATTATACGTGCCTTACCGGCTTTTATTTAATACTTAAAACAGAAGAATCATAATTCTTTCAGAAAACGCACCATTGTTGTGCAAAAATCTATTGAAATCGATGTTTTGAGAGTCAGTTAATTTTTGTTTATTTCTAGTAGAGGTCAAAATACAAGTCAATATGTAATTTAGATATAAAGGCACATGTTGCTCGTTTCTTCTTCACTTGTTCCATCTGGGCAACATGTAATGGGTTTTTACCGATTATAAGGCACGTTGTGCAACAAATTCCTTCTATTTTTGTTTTAATGTGTCGGTGATGTCCTTCAGTTTTTCGCTAACAGAACGCAAAGCATTTTTATCTAACGCAAGCAAATATATGTTCATAGAATGAGGTGCCAGAATCCAACTTAAAGAAGCGGGTTTTTCGGTTGGACAATGACCCAAGCATACAAAGCAACGTACCTGCTACGCTTGAGGGTATAGATAACAGGAAGATCGATTGAGATTGTCTGCCGTGTTTAAGAGGGCGTATCATAAACTATTGTGAGTAGGGATAACCGTTATTCTATCAGATATTTCAGAAAAGTACCAATTTTTTTGTTAAATATTCGAGAAAACAAGCAAGAAGAAGTTTTATTCGAAAAACCTTTTAAACTAAAGAAGTCGTAACGACTTTCATAGTACGATTCGGCGGAAGTCGGACCGAGTTTGGGATTGGGTGTCTGATTCGATCGGGTTGTAGGTCCTTAGTGTGTCCAACAATCTAACAGTCAAATAGCGAAATTGATTAAGAGATCAGCCATTACGTGAAAGTGATCCATTAAACATTTATGAAATCATCACAAGCGGCCATTGTTGAGAATTACTCGTCTCCTGCGTTGTTTTCATTGTTTCAGCATCATCTGTGCTCGGGGAATGTGAATTCATCATGTGAGATACTTTCCTCGTATCTGTTTTAAGCCACACAATATCACCGAACGCGTTCGAGAGTCAAATAGGTTTAGATAATAGAGAATGAGAGAGATGCATTATTTGTCTTTTCATTGTTTAACGCCTGACGTTTATGTTGCTGATAAGGCACGTTGTGTAAAAAATTCCTTCTATTTTTGTTTTAATGTATCGGTGATGTCCTTCAGTTTTTCGCTAACAGAACGCAATGCACCTTTATCTAACGCAAGCAAACATATTTTTATATAAAGGGTCCACTGTGACCCTTTCGTTTTTCTCTGTGCCCATGGGGAAATAAAATGCTGTGGGCACTCGTGAAAAATTTATCCCACTTGTGATTGTGACAACGTGTGAACTGTTCACGGAAACATTTCGGGTCATATTTTCTGCCTGATCACTAGTGAAAGTCATGAAATTGTTTGTGAATATATGTAGAAAGAAATTCTTACTGGTGAACGCGTGTGAAATTACAGAAAGTTCACGTGTGACCAAGCATTAGATGTTGCAACTACACGACCGCAACGTCGTGAAACTTCGACAAAATTTTCCCGTGGGATACACCAACAAGTCTCGACTTTCTTGTGAAAGTAGTAGATTACTCTAGATAATTGCATAGCTATGGAGTTTCAAAGTTGTCGGAAAGGGAAAATGAGAATGAGAAAGAAAATTGGCTATGGTTAAGTATGTCTCGGAAATTTCAGCGCAATCAGACGAGTCTATAAAGTATGGTATTCAAAGAGTTATTGTCACAACAGGTGTACCTCAGGATCGTATTTTTAGTTCCGGTCTTATTCGTCTTTATTAATAAACTATCAACCCTAAGACTGCAGAATTATCATTTCAATTGAGATAGGATGTGCTTCCTGTCGCGCACTTCGAAAGTGAAAACTTGAATGCTACCCAGAAAAGAATGCTCGTTAATCTCAACGTCGATAAACAGCAATTAGTATTATCCAATATTCTATCAACTACCAAAAACCTACAAGCGGACTTAAAGTACTGTGGAATGTTAATCATTTTGAGCAAGACCGACTTCCCACTTGTCGTGTTGCCCACCAAAAGAATGTTATTTTTTTTACCATTATGCACCTGAACTCCATCTATTTTCGCTTGACTCAAATCAACTGAACTCGTCGAACTCAAACGCTTCTATTTTGATTTTAACCCTGAACATCATATGTTGCTCAGATGGTACAAGTGAAGAAGAAACGAGCAACATGTGCCTTTATATCTAAATTACATATTGACTTGTATTTTGAAATGATTTTGTCGTATTCAGCGAAAGGTATATGAAAATATGTTTGCTTGCGTTAGATCAAACTGCATTGCGTTCTGTCAGCGAAAAACTGCAGAGCATCACCGACTTCTGCCGAATTGTACTATCAACGTCGTTACGACTTCTTGAGTTTAAAAACTTTTTTCGAATAAAGCTTCTTCATTTATCCTCTTCCCTGAATCGATTGGCTGGATCTCAATATTTCACCACACTAGACCTCAAAGCGGGATATTCGCAAATCCCAATAGATGAACAATACAAGAAGAAGACAGCATTCGTCATGACTGACGGTCTATACGAAATTAACGAGCTCCCCTTTGGTTTCTTCTTTCTTGTTTTCTCGAATATTTAACAAAAGAGGTGGTAAGAGTTGGCGTTCCAGAGTTTAGATTTAGATAATAGAGAATGAGAGAGATGCATTATTTGTCGTTTGAACCAGAACGAAATCGAGAATATAAATTGCATTCATCAATCACCAGCACAATTGATGACCTCATATCTTATCTCTCTAGAGAACAACAAGAGCAAGTCCGTCCTATACTGTTCAAATACAAATCCGTCTTCGATACAACGCAGCCATCGAGCATGAAAAGAAACGACGTCTACCATCATATTCCAATCCAATCACATCATCAACCGATCCAATCCTACCCATACAAAAAAGCGCTTAAGGAAACACAACTTATCAACGAACAAGTAATCATATTATCCGTCCGAGCTCAAGTCCATGGTCATCACCCGTCGACATCATTAAAAAGAAAGACAGCCGCCGCGTTTTTGTGTGGATTATAGACATTTGAACGCGACCACCGAGCGGGATGTGTAACCTCCTCCCCGACTCGACAACATTATCGACAAATTGGCTGGACCTCAATACTTCACCACACTAGAACTCAAAGTAGGATATTGGCAAACTCCAATAGACGAGCAATACAAGAAGAATACAGCAATCGTGACGACTAACGGTCTATACGAATTCAACGTGCTCCCCTTTGGTTTCGAATATTTAGCAAAAGAGTTGGTAATTTTCTAAAATATCTGATAGAATAACGGTTATCCCTACTCACAATAGTTTATGATACACCTTCTTAAACACGGCAGACAATCTCAATCGATCTTCCTGTTATCTATACCCTCAAGCGTAGCAGGTACGTTGCTTTGTATGCTTGGGTCATTGTCCAACCGAAAAACCCGCTTCTTTAACTTGGATTCTGGCATCTTATTCTATCGCGTGGCAGATCAAGACTTATGACTTTGTCTGAAAGAGTCTTTTGAAAACTTTTGATGTTGACCTTTTGTTGACTAGATTTCTTGCGAAAGCTCTTCGAATAAAAAATGAAACACGAAGGGGAGAAGCTTACGACTTTGGTTTAAGCCTGTAATCTTGAACAAGAACGAAATCGAGAATATAGATTGCCATTATATCATTCTGAAACTTAAACTTATCGAAACACAAAATCAATCCTTGCACGAAGCTAGGATCGAACACAC